GATTTCTTGTTTGGAAAATTTATGCGAAGATCAGCTGACTGCGATGTTGCTTTAGAAAGGCAAAAAGAAATGAATGAATCTTCAGTGCCAAACATTGATTTCATTAACCTTTGTCTGAGCGGAAATCACAATTTTGATATCACTTTGACGTTTGTTATTCTGGTCTTTCTTTTTCTTGCCTCTTATACCATCCCAAAGTGTACAGAAGTGAATCGATTTTGGAGAGCCTTCTTTCTGCTGTGTGAATACCTTTCTGGTGGGCTGTTGATGTTCACTTTTATTCCGTTCGCAGTGTACGACTTTGTAGCGAATCTTCCTTGGTGGACGCAGCTTTTTGTTGGAATCATTGTGATGATTGTATGGGTTGCAATTCCGGTGCTGCGTCGCAAGACATCCTACTTCCTGATAATCTACACCTATTCGTACGTCGTATATTGGAAAGTGTTTAAAATTCCTGTTGTCTATATTAATTACGAAGATGATCTTTTTCATTGGTTATTATGCGCTTCTGGATTGGTCTTGCTGATTTCCCCTTTCACGACAGCTTTACAAGAAAGGCTGGTGCATGTCTACAACAGGTAAAATTAGAAAAACTGTTTGTACTACTAGAGGAAATTCTTTTGACAATTTTTCTTTGGATTTGTACAGTTGGTGACGTTCGAAGTAAAAAACCAGAGAAAAACGACCTTTAGTATATATTTATCCCTTTCAGATCCTTCGATTTGCAGAAATGTATTTAAATAAATAAATATACTGAAATAATGGTTTAGTAAGAGGACAATCGCTCCAAACGGTGAATTTATACAGTATCTAATACTTGAAAATCTAAAAATACTAAGTAAATTAAAATCATTGTTACAACCTGCAGGGGACAGGTAAAGTTAACAAAATTCTGTTATTGTCCCGCATTTATATCCAAAGGTTGTTGTAATGGTTTTGAGTATACGTAATAAATAATCATGTGACAATAACTGGGCCCTGGTCGGGGTAGCCTCCCGCGCAGGTGTTCTTAGGGGAGCTCGTATTTCGTCCCTCCCGTAGGAGGCAATGGTCGGGAGAGCTGGATATGATTTACAAAGGAAGACCGGCCAGAAATTCATAAACTGGCTTACTACATCATTTCGCCTGGTTTGGAGGCACTGGAAAAAAAGTAACAGCAAGAACACCTAAATAAGAAAGATCAGGATGCAACATTCTGAGCCTGACCCGCTTTTGAATTTTCTCGATCATGTCGAGAAGGTAACCGTATCCTAGCAGAACAAGAGTACTTGAGGATCGAGCGAATAACAGTAAATACAGTCGAACCTCTCCATAAAGGCCACCTTGGGGACAGAGGAAAGTGGCCATTGTGGAGAGGTGGCCGATATGGGGAGGTAGGGGTGTAATATCAACAAATTTTTTAGGGGAGTACAACATGTTTATTGTGGTATATTCGTGCTTACTGTATCCCATAATGATAATTTCATCATATATAAAACGTACAGAGAGATGAAATACAAAAAATTCTTGAACAAAGTTTTCATCAGAATCAAATGGTTAACAAGACAAAGTGAGCAAAGTTCTCAACATTCTCTGTAAGTATCGTAGACAATTTATGAGTACTGCAGCAGTGTATGTATGGAACCCAATCAAAATACGAATGCCACGATTAGTCATCAACGAGCCATACGAATCAAATTTAATGACTATTCTTGACTTTTTCATCTGTCGCTGAAAACACTGTCCGTTGTCGAGAGGATAATTTGGCAGTTGGGGACACGCTGTAGTGGCCGTTGCCGTTGTAGAGAGGTTTAAACGAGAGTAAATGTATGGACTGTCCGCCGAGACAAAAAAGAGTGGCCGTTGTGGAGAGGTAGCCTTTACTACTGTGGAGGTTGGACTGTATTAAGATGGGGATCAAAACATAGGAAGAGACACCAGAAATTCGCAAAACACTTGGGAGCTTTCTTACACATCAAGTCTATACGTTAAAAAGTCGAGCAGCGAGCTAACTAAAGTGTACTTTACCTTTGCAGGTGGAGGTTACAGAAAGCGTTTTACCACGAGAAAAGTACTGGACGATGTGGATGTTCAGGTATTGGGCTACGGCACATTTGTCCTCTATGGTTATGCTGCTGCTCATGCGGTTCGCAGAACGCGAGTAGTGATACCGAGGTTAGACCACTCACGTTAGCAGATCTGAAAGACATGAAACCCCAATACTTATCCAACATAGTGGTGAACCGATGGAAGAAAAGTGAGGGGGACAGACTAAATTATGCGCTTTTGACAATGTCACCCACTGGTATCGAACGTTTTGACCAGCACGGAGAAAACCAGTTCGAAGGCAAATTGGAACCTGGAGATATCATGTTATCAGATGCAATGGCGACATCTGCAGCAGCTCTTTCCAATCACATGGGAAAATATGAAGGTTCTATCGAAGGACTGAAACGCCTTCACACAATTCTTGGACTCGAAATGGGAGCTACTGTGACAGGTGACACAAAATACGCAAAACAAGGTTGGAAGGTAGTCATGGATTTTTTATCAATTTATCATATTGTGTATTTTTCTCCTACATGTAATTATTATAACAACTGTTTTATTATTATTATTATTATTATTATTATTATTATTATTACATTACAAATGCGTTGTGAATTAACATTTTCAAACTACTGTGTTCTCCCGGTCGAAGTATTTATCTGATCTCTGTTTTGTCCATAAGAGTAAAGATGCAAAGCCTACAACTTGCACCAGGGTTTTACAGTAAATTTGTGAAAACAGGTGATTCGTTACCTCGGCTTTTATCTTGCAATTACCTTTTAACAAGAAAACCACTTCTCGAGCGTTGGCCTGGGTTTTAATTCATCTGTTCGTAATATTCTTGAAGATCTGGCACCACAATCCTTTCTGTTATTATTGCGATCACCGCTTTCATTATCACAATTATTTTGAATAATATTAGTAGTCTATGTTATCATGACTTTTAATCCAAACTTGTCGTTGTTATGAAGTCTTGATCTTTTATTTTCACAAAGTATCATCACATCATCATCATCATCATCATCATCATCGTCATCATCCTCCTCATCATCATAGCCTACGTCACAGGCCCTTGGAAGAAATGGGTGCAAGAAAGAACGGGGCGCGCGAGGGAGACATGCGAGGGGACAGGGAGCGCCTGCCTGAGAGGTCCATGAAAATCGTTTCCCGCCCCCAGTCCAATTATCCAGTAGCCGCTGCATGATCTGTCAAAAATTTCAACAGAAAACGATCCGGATCGACCTCGCACAAACAAAGAGTGTCAAAGCGCGTTGCATTTTATATCCTCAGTCTAAATATCTGTTATAAAGATCAGCTACGTTACGTGATTATAAAGCGGTGGAGCAATGACAAACACACAGCATTAAATCGTTTATAAAACCAAAGGCACGATAAATACGAAAAAACATAGTCAAAACTGGATATATTTAAAGAACGCGTGCTGTTTATAATAAAAAGCAAAGTGTCAGCCGATTTTTGAGCAGACATGTCTTACTAAACGGACCTAAAGTTCAGGACTCAAACTGTACTGAGACGTTTTTATAAGCTATAGTAACTAGATATTAGCATCAGTCGTCGCATTCGAGCGAATAATATATAACGAAAGGTTTTTTGAAATTCATGCCCCTCAGCGGAAAGTGGTTCATTTCATCAATCCTGTCCAGGTCCTGATGGTATCCGTTCCATCGAAAATGCAAGCCGCCAAGTTCTTTTTGAACAAAGAATATTTCCGCTGATCTTCATTTCAACAATTCGACAAATCCTTTGTCTTAACCGCTTCTGCTAATGCGTATCTGATGTCAAGTCGTTCCTTTGTGAATATCGTTTAAACACTCCAACTTTTTTTGAGATTACGGCCACATATTCCCATTGCATTAGAGACCTCCAGGATCTAATCTTCGATTATATCATTTAGTGGTGTAATAAGACCTTCACTGCTTTGTATTGTACTGCGTGTTTACAAGCGATCTCGTCTTTTCTTTGATTGACAGTTTTCTCGCTTAACGCGAACACTTATCCCGTCGGGAGCCTCTTAACCAACAGTAATTTTCCGGACTCTCAGAAAGCTAGTAAAAACGATTTTCATGGGCCTCTCGGGCAGGCGCTCCCTCTCTCCTCGTGTGTCTCCCTCGCGCGCCCAGTTCTTTCTGGCGCCCTTCACTTCCACGCTTCTGATACACAAGCTATCGTCATCACAGCTATCATCCTCATCATCGTCTTAATCACTAATCTATTGATTTTTTTTCTTTTCTTTCTTTTTGGTTTTAACTCAACAGATACTGGCGTGTCTTTTACATGTTATTCGTGGAGCTCCCTTAATTATCCCAACAGTGTTTCAATTGATTATGCCTTCAAACATCGAGCTAGTCATTATCATTTCAATGGGAGCCTTCGTATTATTGCACGTCTTTCTAGCCTTCATCGCAGGCATTGACACAGGAGCAGAGGAACCAAAATGGTTGGAGAAAATTGCCAGGTGAGAGTTTGTTTGGTTTATGGTTCACGACAATAAGTAGTTATAGCTATCAATTGCAACATACGCTTATAGCTGTCGCATTTGCCCGCTGGAATTTTTCATTATTTTTAAGCCTAAAAACAATTAAAAAAAATTCCAGCAAAAAATGCGACAGCTATACGTGTATGTTGCAAATGAATCCGCCCGACGACTAGTTCAAGACGGAATGAGCACGGGATTCACAAACACGCTCACGGCTCATGGATTCTCTGTTCTGTATCACGCGTTCGCTCGTCCGTAGGTAGTAAGTGGTAGTTCAACAATAGTTTTTTCAGTAGCGTTCTCAGTGCAGTCTAGAGCCCGTTGAAGTGGAATCCTGTTGAACGGTGATCTCACATCAAAAGACACTAGTTTGTGGTCGTCAGGTATCTGTACCATGTTGTCTTCGTTGCGCCAATAAAGTTCTCAGTAGACTGCAGTTTATGTCTAGGTTCGTCAGTCAAAGGTTTCAATACGTTAGTTACGTATTTAGACAGTTGGTAAGTCCAGATCGGGGACCCACAGAAAGAAACTATGGGCTGCATAGGTATGTATGTATGTTCTGTGAGTCCCCGAATCAATTAAATGCATCGAGGTAGTCGTGATAGAAAATTTGGTTTGATCTGTGCATAGAAGGATGCCTAGGAAGCAAAAACCTGCAAGTTATGAAATTCCGACCGAAATGAAGACTGTTGAAAATTGAATCTAACATCTGCTAGTTGGTCATTTTAAATTATTGTTTTTTTCCTCAAATTAGTCACTAAAAAGCCTAGATAACATTTCAGTGATAAAAAAATTGATGAAGTAATCTTAAATTAAGTGTAGTACACAAATTCAACAATTTAAAATAGAAATAAAACCATTTTTGTAGAAAAATGCAAATTTTCAAAAACATGGTTGGCAAAACTAGGTTGCCATGGTAGCGTCAATGTTGACGTGCACGTCACAGCGACTTAAAAATGTTCCCAGATAAAATTTAGGAAAATTCGCTTCAGTTTGGCAGTCAGGGCTTGAACGGTTTTGAGGTTATTCAACTTTTTAGTAAGGGGGGGGGGGTCAAAAGCCCCCCGGTCTGAATGGGGTTAATTAGGCCCCCAAAAAGGATTCTTGCAAGTCATGCATACCTGAAATCTAAGACAGCATGTGGGAAGAACGAGCGAAATAATCAAATATCTAGCGTATATAACTTTTCGTTTTTTGAAGTGGAGAGAAGAAGCAACAAAAGGGTAATTCTGTTCATTTGCAGGTGGTTCATTGTGCACAATTCTTTCGTCTACAATGTGAGATTATTATTCTCCAAGGACAACATTGGGCCAACGCCACCAGCAGTGTTGCTACTCAGCGACGGTGGTCATTACCAAAATCTCGCCATTTTGCCACTGTTACAGAGGAAACTGAAAAGGATAGTTGTTGTCGACGGAGGATATAAAGACGAAGAGGAAGCATATGGAGAAGATATTCTGGATGCACTGATGCTCGCTCGTGCTGAGCTGAACTGCTCCTTTTATGGTAAAGACGGTAAAGATGTCATTACAGACTTGATGCAGATGTTTGTTAGGCCAGAACGGGAAGGAAAACCGCGTTATTACAAGTATGCAACTCCTGCCTTTTTTGTACTTTATGATCCATAAAATGATCGTCTTTCTGCCTTTAAGAATATTTGTTCACAACCGATTTCAAGGGGAGAGTATAGGTTGGGGATAAGGAGGAGGGGCGATTCATTTGTGTTCACTTGGACAGTACCTTTTGTTATGAATCTCTTTAACATTTTTCTCTCTACACGGGTTTATAAGAAGTTCTAGGTCTCGAAAATGATACTGTCGAAACGTACTTGCCACGTCATGATAGACAGCGATTATAAGTTTAAGAGTAAAGGTGATCTGAAACTGTCACTCGTACTGAATCTCCCACGTGACAGTCAAACGACGCCATCACAGACCGGGACCGCACCAAACCTCGAAAGCGGCAGCATGTGCAATGACAGTTTGGTTAATTTACAATGACTTGGTTGGTGCTCTTGGTTGGTGCTAATTCTCCCTTTACAAAACATGACCAGTAAACATACCAATCAAATTATGAACACGTTGACACAAAATGTCAAATCACGCGTCACAATATTATTTATGACGTCGTTGATATTTGCATTTTTTATAGGGAAAGTTTTCGAAAGATCTTGGAAAGGAGAAGATATTCTTCCATTACTCAAATACTTGCTAAGATATGAAATGTTGAATTTGGAAAAAAATTGGGCACCGTTTGTGTTATAGGTCTAAGGTTAAGTCTTTTATAAACTCAATATAAGTAGCACAGTAACTATCTCAATTATCGGAAACTAAAACAAAAAAATCAAACCGTAAATTCCCTCCAATGCCAAGACCTCAGAGACGCCTCAGAGATGCCAAGAAGAAGTTTTTGAGCCACGAAACGAAAATCGTATGATGGTATAGCCTGAGTATCAGGCGTTTCTGGGAGAAAAGAGGAAAGATGGAAGGCCTGATACTCAGGCTAATGATGGTACTTCTTTCCGTAACTACCGAGTTTTCAGAGTTTAACTAGCTCCGCTGGTAAAGATCGTTTAGCAAAACGCATTCTTAGCAATTAAATTTTTCATTAAACGCGTTCCCCTGGAGTCATGCCATGAGACTTTATAAATTGACATGAAACGTAAAGTAGCATTTGGCGAGTCGTTTTTAGAAGAAAAGTATGGTTTTAGCGTTTTACTCCCCTTTTGAAAGCTCTTTCATATCACATAACTTTGTGCTGTTTTGGTGACATTATTAGTCGTAATGTCATACTCGACATCTTACGTGAATAATTTGGTAGAAAATCGTACACTCATCTTTGGCAAGTTTGGTAAATAGAATGAAAAGTAATGTGAATAGAGAGGAGAAGTCGTTACGTCACGTTGCCTTGGTAGCAAATTTTTTGGATGACAACAAACCGAAAATTCACCAAAAAGAGAATCTGCACCGCTTCAAACTTCATCGATCTTATTTCCGAAACGACCGTATCTAAGTTTAGAAAAAGGAAAACGAAAATTTTTGAGTTGGTTCACCGACTCCATGAAGCGGGCGCTTGAAATTAGAAAGTTTCATGTCGCAGTCGTGCAACCACGGCAAAGAAATGAACAAAATAGCATGATGCACGTGCAAATTTGTTTTTTGTCAATAAAAACCTTTTACTTTTTTGCCTCTCTCCTTCCGTCGCCCTTGTCGTTGGTTTTGTTGTCATCCAAAAATGGTGCTACCATGGTGATGTGACGTCACACTTCTCCTCTCTATAAAATGTAAAATTAGCCTCACGGATGCCTTTGAGAGGTGGTTTGTCCCACCGTGTAACATTCATTTTAGAAACCTATCAGAGTCCAGTAACATTCTGCAAATGTTTCTTTTATAATTAAACAGATTTAAAGTCCACTACGATAACGATAATGACAATGATCCGGAACGCACTGGAGAAATCATTCTTCTCGTACCAAGGAAACAAGAAAAAAACAAGGATTTAACTGGCTGCTGCTGTGAGTGTTGTCATCACAAATCATGTTTATGTGCTTGTTTGTCCAGCAACGATCAGTTCCCACAACACCACACGGGCAACCAGTTCTTCACACCCCGGATGTTCTCTGCTTATCACGAAGAAGGACGCCTGGCCTGCAAAGAGGCTAAAGCTGATGAGTTTTTGAAAGCTGTTTGCTCTGTAGTTGATGTGAGAGACAGTTCGGAAGAACCAAATAGACCTGCCTTTCAGCCTCCGCGTGGCGCAGGCAGGTCTAAGTATAACGAAATTCCATTACACGAGAGATCACGACAGAAGTAAAGTTAAAAAAGTCCTAGCACTTGAGACTTTATAACTCCTAGACATATACAAAGACTAAAGTCACTCGCCGAGCAAAGACTCAGGGCGCATAATCAAACTTCTTTTAGACAACATTAAACCAATAGAAGCTTTTAGGTAGATTTTTAGAGATCATTGCACTTTACGATGAATAGAAGACTCATCTGCCAGCTGATCTGCTATACTGTAGAAAAACTGGGCATAATCCCTAGAATTGCAGTGATGTAGAATAATACCAGCAGACTTAAGAATAAGTTCCAGAGATTGGACTTTATGCGCTTGCACTAGTATTGTACCCGAGCTGTTTGAATAATATTAGCTTATCGTCGAAAAAAAAACATGTAAACTGTTTTTGGCAGACTCTTTCTGTTTGGACCAAATCAAACAGGATTCGCAAAACTCCAAGACCATTTTCTTGGAGGTGTTAGTGCAGGGAGTTCAATAGGTTATTTTTTTGCAGTAAGAGTTAAGGTTAGATATCTTACAGTCTAGGGAAGGCATCAAAGTTTTCTATCTCATTTATCCTTTATTATACACAAAATGCTGCAAAACTTGACCCCTCTTACCTTTCTCACTGGGGCTATTTGACATCAATTTTTTAAACTCACCTTTTATGTAGGCTGGCTTTTCAGCCGGTTGAGGGGTCTGGTTTCAATTCTTGTCCAAAGAAGTAACGAAGGAGGACAAAGGGCTTGTTATCTAGCCTATACCATTCATGATGACTCTTAAATTTAACCGCCCGTGTTGTTATTTTTGCTAGCCTAATTACACAGACAATATCATTTAGTTGTTTTGCCCTCGCCTCAGAGAGCATTTATGCATGTTACCTTTTTAGCTCATGTATTACCAACACTGATATTATATTGATTAAATAAACTGGTCTTGTTTTTGTTAGCAAAACCTTATCTTTTTTTTAATTTTATTTTACAACTTAAGCATCGAATGCAATAGTTGAAAGCTAATAATATCGCAACTTAGTTATCTTGTCCTGACGAAACCTTCCTGCGGTTCTAGTTCCGTTGGCCTCGGTACTTATTGGCCGGAGCTGGTTTAAGGTCTTAAGATAATAGCGACCGCTTTTTTGCCGAGAACAAAAATCAACCCTTTACCACCCCATTTCCGTTATGTGCCCTGGCCTGACGTGTACCACCGCATGCAGTTCATGCAGTTATGCCTTCCACTCCCGTTATTGTGGACGCCCTCAGGACCGCGTCTCTTACCCTTTAAGCCCCAACTGAAGATCCACATACAAGTTCTCCAGACTGATCTCCATACATTGTCTTAAGGACTTAGTTGAGAGAAGTTGATAAAAGATCAAAGTAGTTTTCCTTTGGTGATCATTTTGTCAATTCTCATAACTATGTACTGATGATGTTTGGAGAAAATTAATTAAATGTAGGTTTTCCTTGGGATTTAGGAGTTTTAAAATCCCTGTTTGATGACACTCCCTTAAAATCGTAATCACATCTAGCAGCCTGCTCGGTTCTCCCTCTTTACTGTAAGGAGGATGCGCTCAAGTAAACTAAACTTCAAAATCCTCGTTCACGACCTTCATGCTTCTTCTTTGTTTGTATGCCCTCTTCCCTTATCTGCATGTTAACCCGGTCCACTGGTAAAGAGGTCGAATGACCGGCAGTTAGTCTGCTACAGTGGATGGTTTTACAGGCAGGTCCAATATGTGTTGGTTTTCTAAAAATGTTGATCACAGATTTGCCATTTCTCAGTGAGTCTCTCCTTCTCTTTGCCATATTTTCGTAGTCGAAAATGAGTCGTAAACCCCGTTTTAAGAAGCCTTGAAAAATCTGTCTAAGGGGACAATTGCAAAGCGCGCCGAATTGAAAGAATTCGTATTAATAAGCGACAACACTTAGAGGAGTTTCTTCGGACTCACCTATCTTTATGAAAACTGAAAAAAAGATTCCGTAACGAAATATCTGGGTCGTCACAGGCACAGTGGAGAGATCTTGAATGAGCTGAGCCTGTTGAATGAGCTGTAGTACGTGCAAACTAAAAGGTAGATCACTTACATACCACTGAAAGAGTGAAAGGTAGACAACACGGAAAATTTTGAAAGGGGTTGTTTTCTATTAAAGCGCTTAGTTCCTGAGTTGTGGAAAAATTGAGTGAATTTCTGGATCTGCAGCCTTAATCTCGTACCCACATCTCTTGTGACAAGAGATCTGGGTAGGAGATTACTGGAGCCTATATATTTATTTTTACAGATTGCACAGTAATAAAACCCGATACCGACTACTAAAAACAGGTCATTGTAGTTATAATGACTAATGTTATGTGACAAGTATGTGATTTTCACCTAAAATAATACAACATATAATCAACCCATTTATATCAAAAAGACGTGATTCACCCATACATCCTAAAATATGTAAATATTTAAAAAATTCACGCTAAACACAGGCGTTAGCTTATTTACATCAATACAAATCATTCAATTCACAATCTAGGGCAAACTACCGCTCGTTTCAAATACTGAATTCAATTTTGGAAATGACACCAATGATATCTCCGTGTGTTCATAGCTGCAGTTACTGTCACGTGTTTGATTATTACGAAACATGCGCGCGCAGGCTATGATGAGGTGAGATTAGCAATTGCAGTTGTCACGTTGCGACACACAAGCGTGACATTGGAGCTGGTACCAGAGCCTCCTCCAGCTTTCGCAGCATTTCCAGCCCAGTCTGGAAAAGTTTTTAAGTCGAACATAGGGACCCCATAGGTATTGACACAAATTATCAGCACTGTCACCGCTAGGACATTCATTACGATACCAGCTTTTGCCTGACGAAAGAAAAGAGTCGTATTTGAATCGTTTCTCAGTTGACTTAATTTTTGCGACTGGGCCAGTTTTCATTAGAGTGTATTTTAATTTTACCTTTGCTTTAGTGGGATTTTTTATTAACCTGGCCAATAACAGCAAGCACAGACAATTCATACGCAATGAACCAATCAGATGGCTAGGTGGCGCTAAGGGTACTAGGAAAACGCCACGCGTATACAAGTTATGATTTGCTTTGGCTGGATTTCTGATTGGTTAACACAATGGTGTGATTCTTTTAGCAGCCAGTCACAAAACATTCCAATGCAAAAGCAAAGGAGCCAATATAGTAACTAGGAATTCAATAAACTAATGACAAAGACAGTGAAGCAAACACCATCATAAAGTTCCAAAGAATGGGACCTTTATGAAAGACCATTCCAAGAACCATTGGCTTTATTTTGGTGGGCGCTGTAATGGATTAAGACAACACCAAATCAATTATTTTAATGAGTAGTCAATAGAAAACCTCTTTGATTACAATCTATACATACCATGTCCTTGACTTTGAGGCGTCCACCGGCAAATATAATTGCATTTGGTGGAGTAGCGACGGGTAACATGAAGGCGAATGAACAAGAGATAGCAGCAGGAAGCATGAGGTACCAAGGATGGACATTTATTTCCTCTCCCTGAATAAAAGATATATAAAAAAATCAGTGTTTCTTATGGGTATTACATACAAAATCACAATGGTCCCAGCGATATACAACAGCTGCATTTTCAAGAGAAACCTTAAATCAAGTGACACTCTGGCACCAAAACACGGAGCCTACTGACTTAGTGGTTAGTAGCTTTTGCGCATATTCATAACACCCGGGCAGTTTCAGCCCACCCTCTGCTCATTTGAGCTCTTAAGAATGGCATAGCCGTCAGATCCAAAGGCCGTTCTCAGGTGACCTTAACTGCCGAGGTGAGTTAAAAGCACCCCTTTAGACGCAGGCTCCACATAACATTTCTTATGCGTACGGCTCTTCTTAGTGGACACTTCTTATAGTCGCACAGAGGCCCGCTTTGGGGAGGTTCTAGCTCGGCATTGAGTACACATCTAGACCCCCCTCTATAAAAAATCCCTGCATCGGTTCCTGTAAAAGTCTCCTAATAAAGCATCCACTTAATTTATCAGTACAAACAGATTAGAAATCATACTTGCAAAGAGCGTGAAAAGTGTAAAAATCTCAACCCTTCATCAGTTTGTTGAACAGCAAAAAATACCCTTGATATTAATAACATTTCATTTCTTCAGTAAAACAGTTTGTCTCCTTTTCGCTAATTCATTTCCATTTAACTAACATTTTTGTCGAGTTCAGAGTAAGCAGAAGTCACAAATAAGCTAAAAGACAAACTCACAAGTGATGCCAGTATTGGAAGAAAGATGGTGGCTGTTGCTGTGTTGGAGGTGACCTCAGTGAATGTAGTAATCATTACACAGACGATAATGACGATTGCATAGCTTGGTATGGCATCAAGATAGGCTAATTGGGTTCCAACCCACTTGGATAAGCCAGACACCTGTCAGATAATTAAATATCGAGGTAAAACTTCAAACAATTAAGACACAGCGACAGCAAAATTTTTTCTTTTCAGTTGCAAGCCTGCATTGAGACGTTCGAAAGGAACTGGGGAAAGAGGCAAAACAGGACGCACGGGAACCTAGTTGCTAGTTCTTAGTATCCGTACGGCTTTATGTCCTCTCCTCCCCACCAAGGATTCACGGAAAATTTCACAGGAAATCACTAGGTAAAACTACAAGTAATTGAGAAACAGCGACAACAAAAATTTTTCTAGTTTTCAGTCGCAGGCCTGCATTGCAGGCGTTCGAAAGAAACTGAGGAAAGGGGCAACACAGGACGCACAGGAACCTAGTTCCTAGTTCCTAGTACCGGTACGGCTTTATGCCTTCCCCCCCCCCCCCACCCAGGATTCACAAGAAAATTTAGAATAGACATTATTAACGATACCCGCAATCTTTGCACGCACGTAAGGAAAACTGCCAACAAAATCCCCCATTAAATCAGCACCACTATTTCTTACCTTACACGCTTCCGCTAAAGCAAATCCACTTCCAAGTAGCACAATAATATTCCATGGAAGCTTTTTCTGCATCGACCTGAACTCCAGAAGGCCAGGTGGTGGTTTGTTCGCTATAAAGTGGTAAAAGTAAGTTAAGCAAGGGTTTTGTATGGCCATTCTCTGCATAACTTTGTACCAATTGATATTGAGCAACTAATGTATTGTTAATATTGTACAACTATTGTATTATTGTACAACTAATGTATTATAGGATGGAGTAAAAAATAAAAATACAAAATACAAAATATAGCGAAATAAGAAGATCAAGAAAATAAAGACCACGCAAGATATGTGTCCAACAACTAAGGCATCTGTCTTCAAACCAAATAGTTTTCTTTTACTATGATGTGGAAATACGAGTGCGCATGAAAAAAATAGTGTGTAACGTACATAGTAATTTACACACACAGGTAATTTGCTTGGGTTTTGTAAATTTCTTACTTGAACTTTAACATTTATCAAGCTCTGACGATAGTACCCTAAGGTGCGCACTTTTTTTGTGTGTCTGTATGATTGTGTTCAATTTCTCTTCGCGAGGTTCCGCGATTCACGTATTTTTAGTTAATTGTTATTTACTAGGGGTACCTTCCGGCAAGTGCCAACGAGGCGAATTCGTTTATCTTTTGTGGAATGTGCCAATTCAGATCTTCGCGATATTTCTTTTTAATAATTTTAAAGGTTTACAATGGATTCCGCTATAGAAAAAGATGGCACCCAACTTCAAAACAACAACTTTGGCACACTCTAGGCTTTCACTTTTATTAAACAATAACAACATAGCTTGAAGCTTTGTTGGTAAATATGAGCAAGTTGGCACTTGTATTTCATGGAAAATTCCATTGTATCAAAACTATAAACGTTAGAAAGAAAAATATAGTTCAAATGAGGCCTTTGACTGCTGAAATTATAAATAATAATTAAATTCCGAGCAACAGCTTTACTAGGATAAGAAAAATATATCGCGTGGTAATATACATAAGGAGGAGTTGGTGTGAAGTAAAATATGTGAGAAGCGCAAGAATGGGGCGGAATGTATCAGAGGTATAAAAATATAAACTTAAATAAAATACAAAGATCTAATGAGCGAGTTTCACAGGACAAAGATTCTCTTGAAAGGCATAATGATAGTCTTCAAAACAAAAGGTCCGCAAATTCGTTGCATTCCTCATGGGGGTTTTGGGCTGTCTCAATTAACTATGTGTAAACCAAAAAAACATGCTGGTTGACAAAATCTAAAGACATGAATAAATTCCAAAAAAAGGTCCGCAAATACGTTGAGGACTGGCTCAATGTAAATCGATCTGCGAAGAACACGCTGGTTCCGATATAAGTTTTGAGAATATAACCCTATGCCTTGATCAACTACCGCTAAAAATTCAATTCACAAAGCAAAAGAGAATACGAAAAACCCTGGTTCTGAGTTGAGAAGCGAACACGCTACCCCATTTTAAATCGAGCTGCAAAGAATAAGCTGGTTCTGACAAAAATTTGAGCATAAAACCCTAATTTATAAAGCAAACCAGAGCACTAATTGCCCTTTCAAACTAGAAATCGTATTAGACCTTGCTCACCTGTTAGGTCCTCTTGAACAGACAATGAACAGCTGTACACTGAATCACCCAATTTCGGACCACGAGTTTTAAATACAAGACCATGACGTCACTATGCAAATATGGGGTCTTACTTACACCCAAATATGGTCAAAAATGCAAATTTTAGAGGGTTACGCAGAATTTGAGAGTTTTTGCCTACATCGTGCGGCCGCCGAGGCAACCTCGCTTCTTAGCTCGGTTGCCTCGTTGGCAATTAGTTATATCGTTACCACCCTCATTATAGCCTACGAAAACAGCCGTCAGTTTCTCCTCGCTCTTCGCCCCTGGGGACGTTTCGCGAGGAGAAACCAACTGTTTTCGCAGGTTACCCTCGGCTTATTAATTTATTAGAAAAATTGTACGTCTACTTTTACTTCTTTGATAGATCGGTTTGGAAAACAGCTTTTTAAATTTGTTAAGAATTTAAACAAATTTTCTTATTAATATTTCAAAACTTCACTTGTCCTTGAGGCATGTTAAAAAAAGAATTCATTAGCCTGATCACAAAATCCATAAACACCGGGCTATCGCCGGACGCGACTTTCTTTGGAGGCTGGAAAGGGATATCCTAACGACGCCTTGTTTGTGCGCACCTGCCTCAAAAGCAGGATTGAAGTCTGGATTGGATCGGTTCGAATGTTCCGTCGCCACAGTGTATTGTAAATCAACCTACAATTTGACTAGCACTACAATTAATCATAGGAACACTAACTAGCTAGAGATTCCATATTTCTTTTCCGCTCTCACCTGAACCATCGGGAGCAAAGATCCTTGGTCGCTCGGAGGGGAACACAAATAGTGAAAACGAAATTATCATAGCCACCGTAGCGTCACGAACGTAACTGGATAGAAAAAAAAGAGAAAACCGAATTAATGGCAATGGCATTTTCCAGGCGTTTACGATCTAAACGCCTCGAACAGTCTAGAATAACAAGAGTCTTTGCTGCATATGCGCTTAAGTGTGATTTTCCTTGGTTTAAGACAAGATCAAACGTCAGCGTGGGATGAGGTCACATTCTCGTGAAGACTTCGGTTAGCCATTTATTTTTTCCGCAGAGATAGAAGAACGAGTTAAGCGCACGAAAGGGCGAAAGTTTGCCTCGTGAGGAGACGCAATCTACTACTGAAAGTCAAATTTTCCTCTCCTTTTGCGTCGTGTCTCCTTGCGTAACTTTACTTTCCGCGCGCAAATTAAATTGTTTTGTTTGTTCTCCAACTTGTGAGGAAACGCTGCGCTGGTATCACAGGGATCGTTTGCTAACTAGCTGTGCAACCTGTTCTATCACTAATAAAACTTTTCTTCTGGGGTAACGTAGTTTCCATTTGTTTCTAAGGGCTGGGATTTGTCCCTGGGTTTACCTAACTTACCCCTTCTTAAACTTATCATCGACAAGCATTGCATTCTTGAAAAAAAAATGAATCTAAGGTTCTTTAAACAAGAGAAAACGTCCACGAGTGAGAGAAACCAAGTGAACGGCGAAGCAGACCACACCCTTTCCTTTTCATTAAATCTAATCCACATGTGATCCGCATAAATGACACACGTTCCCCCGTGAACTGAGGAAAAAATATCGACTGCTCGTCAAGCGCTCTATAAATGGCTTCATAAGATGTGTTACATTCCAAGCCAAACTAACCAAAGATAATCTTACTCTTTTTCGAATATTATGGACCATCCCTTAATGAATTTGGGATCACGAAACAGCCACAGTAACGCCAGCATGATAAAATGTCCAAGAACGGCTTTCTCAGCAAACCTGTGAAAGCAAAATATCATGCTAAGTTCTATACTTTTCAGTCTTTAAAGTTACTCTGTGGTTAGCAGAAAATGAACCTACCCCTTGAGGTATATTGTGGTAGCTCTGCTTTAGCTCAGTCAGGTTATCTAGCATGTTTACTACAAGTTCCTTCTGAAGAAATTCTTTTATCAGCAGCTATTAGTAATATTAAAGCGCGCTTGAATTCCTCTTTCTTTCCCTCCTGCTGTTTTTATGAAAACTCAACACTAATGTTGGAAAGGAGGACAAGTAATGGCTAAAACCTCATGGCACTTTCTTTTGCCAGTCGCCCTATCACTTGACACCGAGCATACTGTATATTTTCAATGGTTTAACAACACTCGATGTAAATGTAATTGAAACTTCATTCAAACACAGGTTAACGGACAGCCCTCTCAGTTTCCGTATTAACGGGGTTCGACTGTACTCTAAAATGCTTACGACATGGGTCCAAGTGATCTGTACTGTTCCTGCAAAACCATTTTGATCGCCTGCGCCGAATGGTCCTTCTTCTTTGACCTCGACAAGCAGAAACAACGGCAACATCTGCGGAAACTGTAACACAAGGACCATCAACTCAATTAAGTGAAATTACCTATAACGAAAAAATCATCCCCGAACAACTTAATAAATACTTTCACTCCTCAGTGATCAAGACAATAAAAAATCATGAAAAATTACGCTTCTCTTTTTCTTTAAATCCCGTAAAATGAGTAGTGTAACCCTTTTTGCCACAAAAATGAACAATATCAATTTTCGCCTCAACATATTCGTATATCATCAAGGAAGAAAAGGTTAGGAGAATTCAGTTAATAAAATGACCAGCAAAGGGAAGATACTTTGATTTTTCGAAAATTATCTCGACTATCTTTCAGGGAAATGCGTGGAAATCAACCTGGACAATTTGTATGTGGATATTGGGGCTTAAAGGATAACAAGGCGGCAAATATTAATCTATCTCGTCCCCGTCCCTCAAAGTTGTTAAGCGGCGCGCGTTGTGTCTTAGGTAAAATGCATTGCACCGGTCCTCCCTAAGATACTTTGCACATAATAGCACCTAGCATAAAGAACAATTCAAGAGCACTAGCCTAAAAAAAACAGCCGACATTATTTGGCGACGCCACCTTTGGTTTCTCCATGTAATGACCTCTAAGGAAAGAGCGCAGAAATTCTATACTGATGACGCGTCACTACCCAGACCTGGGTAGTGCTTCTGATTGGATGAAGCGAATTTTCAACCAATCATATGCACTATCCAGACAAAGGTAGTAAAGCGTCATCAGCATGGCCGGAATTTCTACGACCGTTTCTCATGCCTGGTTCATACGCCGTACTTTTCATGTGCCGAACCTAATTAGTCTCGCTTGCGTAGGCAGCGAGACTCATAATCTTTAAGCCGTTTTTCTTCGTATTTATGACACGAAAGGGGAGTCATGGTGCCAGGCGTTCTTAGCGGAGATCGTGGAAATTAGGAATAAGCTAAGAATCGTTGCGTGACCGAAGCCACGCATGTTTTGCGAGGAAAGCTTAGGAAAGATTAAATTCAGAGCTTTTCCGAAACGTGTCGCTCCACGAATTCTATCGCTTGAAAGCGTTGATTACTTTGGAACAAGTGAACACTACTGAGTGGTCGAAAAAAAAAACAATAGTGAGAAGAAGAATCTTAATTAGCAAAGCTGCGTTGGTCGGGTGTTGTAAACTTTCATTGTATGCAAATGGCTCTTGTTATGAGCATGCGGTTTATTTTCGGCGATGATTGAAATGACTTGCCATGTAAATCACTCTTTTGATCTCTGGCAATGATGTAATTTCTCTGGACTTATTCACGCGTATAGCCTACGACCGCACACTATTTCCGGTCGTGGCTAACACGCCTACTAAATCAATATCCTGCAGAATACTCGACTTCGATAAAGTAGGAAGTAAAAAACCATTAGCGAGTAAATCCTGTTTCGTGTAGAATTAATCGCCTCCTGATTTGTCGCCCTAATCTCCAAGCAAGCGAAACTGAAAGCCGCTGTAAGAGCGTTCTTGTTTAATAAGTTCGACTTTGTAGCGACACTGGCGCGACATCTGATTCAGACAGCGTACCGTGTGTCGAGCTTAAGTTAAGACTCTGTCGAACTTTACGCTGTTGCCTCACCAAACTAAAACTACCGTACCAAATTGACACCGCTCTCTTGCCGTACTTAATTCATCAGTTAGATTCGGCAATGAGTGGAGCGGCGTCTACACTGTGCCTCATACGTCATAACGCGGGGAAACCCGAGTGGTGGCGTCGCGAAATGTCATCTGTTTTCTCAGGTTACTATTACATTGTGTTGTATTATACCACCCACCAAGTGACATAATTTACAAGGCTGGATGCGCGTTTTAGTCTTTGTGAGATCAGCTGCACAGCCTTAGCAACCTTAACGATTTGCAATGAAATTCATATAAGGAGGTAATGTAGCGCATACTTAATTTTGAGGAACAACAGCTGAAGCCAGACCCATGCAACAAACAAGAGGATCACCATCTGAGGAAACGCGTAACCAAACCAAGCAGCGAAGCCAAAGCCGGGACTATCTGGGTAGATACTGAAAAAAAAACATAATGATTTATTTTGTCATGTCCAGTCTTTTATATCTTAATCGAAGAGATTTGATGAAAATACCTAAATATATCTATGTTTTGTTTTGCTGCCGCTTTGGACCAAAACTATTAATTGCAATTTTTTTATTCGACGTGAGCCCTCCTAATGAGTTTTTGTTACTCTTGGGGCAAACTTCGCCAGTAAAATATTATAATAATGAAAAAATAAAACATAAGGCATACTTCCTCACCAGTGGAAAGGTAAGTAGTATAACCTTTCCGCCACATAAAGATCTATATCTTCACAAATTAGCGTTTATCTTTGATCCATGAGAAACACGAAATTGCTCCAGTACTCATTCCAAATAAAATCGGACAAAAAGATTTGTAGAGCTTTTCTCCTTTGAATCACTTCATTCTCTCACTACCCTTACTCCTTCAGAAGAAGGCTAGAGATTTATGCGCTGTTTTGCAAATGACTATATCAAAGACCACATTGTTGGTTTGCTGGGAGCGCTTTTTTGTTGAAGATTGCTTCTAGCGGAGTATACCGCAAAACCAAGGACAATCAATAACCCTGGCAAAATACAAAAAAACACATCTAGACAATAGAGCCAATAACTGGCGTTAGTCGATATAAAGGGAGGCTTTCGATACATTGCTTATAAGCTGAAACTCGAAATATTCTAGTCAGTCACAATTACCATAGGCACGTGCTAAGCTAACATCAAGAGAGAATGATCTATTCTCTCTTGCTAAAACCGAAAAAAAAAAAAAATTAATTAACTTCTCAAACTCCACGCTCTAGCTGACTGAAAGTTATAACAAACAATGGAAAGACTTGCCTAGTAACCTGTCCACTAAACACTAGATTTGGGGCAGTTCCCGTCAGGGTGGCTGTACCGCCGATATTAGCAGCGTACGCGATAGACAGCATCATTCCTTTACACATTTTGTTGTAATACTGTGTCTCGGCACTCTGTAAGAAAAAGCAGCCAAGATAAAAATAAATATTTAAGTTACTACCTATTCATCTTTTAACAGAATGACCAGAATTATTTCACAAAATGGGGGACATGCACAGTATTGAAATTTAATTTCCAGAGTCACACGACTTCTATACCTCAGCCAAAGGAGGTAATGCAGACTAAACAATAAAAGTTAGCTGAAAACGTGCACAGTCATCAAACCTTAACAGAAAAGAACACTTCTCACCTCTACCTCTTCTTCATCTCGCATTAAATTTACGGAAGACATTCTGAAAATTATCGGTAAATTAAGTAAATATGTTGTTCATATTGTTTTACCTTATTGTACCGTTTTGTACTGAAATGATTACTGGCATCGGTTAGTCCTTCAACAATTCACTTCAGATCCTCAGCTCTTATGCGAAGTTGAATATTTTCGTAGAAACTGCGCGGTACAAATTTCTATTAATAGTTACATATAATTTGCAGTCTCACCCCAAAAAGGTTCCCGGGCAAATTCAGATCCCCCTTTCATAAAGGAAGAGCGATTTTTAACTGAGCTTAATGACGGGGGAAGATGAGTGAAATTAAAAAAGTGTCTCAGCTATTTAGTCTGAGGTTGTAGAAGCAGCCTACGTTTGAAAAAAAATAATTGATACAATTTAACTACATTTTTAGCTTCTCATATGCCGAACCTAATGCATAAATTACTACTTTCTATTTACTTACGACTATTTTCACATACTATTGAACATCGTGAAAATGAATTGAGTCCGACTAATAAGCTCGACGTCTGAATCAACCGAACAACATTGTTTGAACAAACGTAAAGGTTATGAGACAAAACGAAAAATTGGTAAAAATTATCTTGACTGTTTATCGGGTGTTGACAATGAGCATGATGATCTTATAGGGCTTTTTTAACAGCTGGACCTATTAAACTTTACCGTTCATCCTTTTTGTAACGCAGTCCAGCTTCAGTGTTACCATTGGCTTCACCCTCGGCTTCGTGGATTTCAGGTTCCTGGACTGTTACTGTCTTCGTTTCTTCTTTTTCCTGTTCTTCGTTTAAATCTCCAAGCTGATAACTCCCATTATGAGGGACGACTTCGTCAAGCTGGAGTATGATAAGATGAGAAGAAAAGCAAGACGAATGTTATTCATCATTGTTCATAGCGTCGATTTACTTGTCCCAGTTGAAGTCGCAAAGCATGACTCACTTTCCTTATCAGTTACAAGTTTACCTTCCTATGCTAGCCCTCTTCCCCGGAGTACTTGGAAAATAAAATAAATATAAATGGAAGAGAAAAGCCCTTGGGACGGGATTGAAAAATCGGCGAGCGAGGCGAGTCGGGCGAGGAGCTGGGGAGGCGGGAGGAGGGCGGAGCCTGGAGACATGAAGTACCTTCCTGGGCCAGGAGCCCCTTGCCTGGGTAAATTTTCCAGCTGGGCATTTCTTGTTTCCTTTGAGGGGGCGGTTTATTGGCCCTACAACCTAAAGGCTTTAAGAATTACACACGTTAACGTTTCTTGCCATACTTCATCTGCTTTGCTGTCTTCGTCATCGTTTTTCTCCAAGCGATTTTTGATGCTTTCGTTTTTAATTTCAGATAACACTGCTTCAACAATTGGCACCATCATGGCAGTAGTAGCGGTGTTGCTTATCCACATGGAAAGAAATGCTGTGGTCAGCATGAAGCCAAGCATCAAGCTACAAAGAACGATGGATCAATCGAATCAGTTAAACCTGTATTTACTGGTTACCCTATATCGAACAGTGGCGGTCATCATTTCCTGCCCTCCATCAATTGCCTCCGAAATCCAAGAAATTTTCGCCTGTGGAATCCAGAAACTGGGAAAATTTGCTTGTGGAATCCGGAATCCTGGGCTTTGGAATCCGGAATACAGCTCAAGGAATCCAGAATCCCGCTAACGATTGAAATCCAGAATCCAAGTTCCACTGACAAAAACTGGAATCCAGTTCCTGGAATCAGGAATCCACCGTGTGGAATCCAGAATCCAAGACTGTCTAGGATTCGCTTACATGGGGCGAGGACACCAAGTTACTGTTTCAAACGTTACCCTGAGGTAAATTTCACTTGGGTGATCTATGACGCTATCTTACCCTCTGTGAAACGGTCACAATGTTACCGGGTAAATACCCCACCGTTTCTCAAGTTAAGAGATATAAGTAGCTGTGCTTAGGATGGTGGGAAGAGTGAAAAAAGCCTTCTCTCCTTCACCCTTCTCATAATTTTCCAGGCACTTTCGATTTGCGCCCGTCTCCTCCAAGTACGTTTAAAACTTACTTAATTTTTTTATTTAGTGAGAAAACGGGTGAGAATGCAGCGAGCAATTTTTAAGATGTATTCATTTTCCTCAAAAAGAATTTGACAACTGACGCCGACAAGTCCTCAGTTTCCGTTTAAAACACTTAGAGCTTGAAAGTAAGGCTGCAAAAAAATTACTAAATGAACAGTATAGCCTAGGGCAGATAGACTCCATGGGTTGTCAATGCTAGAGACTGTTAGTACGCAACTAGTAGTTCTTCATACATCTCACTAGTCATATCAGAGAAAGAGTGTCCCCATGGCCCCAACAGGGTTCTTCAATCCCTAATTCCGACCCAAAATTTCGTGCAATCCCGTAATCCAGAGGGTCATTTTAGGCAATCTTGCCCGATTTTGCTTTTAAAACCCGAGTCGAAGAACCTATTAGGGACTCTCGAGAAAGTGCTGTGAACAAGGCCTACGGTTTTTCCTCCTTATCCGAGAACAATAGAACATCTAACTATTTGTAGATGTAAAACAGAGGCAACACTGAGTTGTGATGAGTCTGGCCGGGAATCGATCCCAGGCTTGGTGCTGCAAAGCCTAGAGCCCAACCTACTGAGCTCACCAGTCGGCGGTTACCAAGCCGCCTAACATGCGAACAGGCTCCCCTGAAAACATGGTGTGAAGAGCAGTTCACACTTTTTCCCCTCTTCCCTTCTTTTCTTGCGCTTTCGTGGCTGTCTTTCAACCTGTTCCCCATTAGAGAGTAAATGCTGACTTGTTTGTTTAATATTAAAGTTCCGTTATTGGATGTCCTTCAACCCTTCACCCCCCTACAAACACAGACGCTACCCTCTTCCATTTAGATCCTCACCTTCGAGGCTGAGCTCCAACCATCAACAGAACTCGAAGAGCAATTCGTTTATGTAAATTCCAATGCTCCACGGCAACCGCAACAATTAAGCCTCCCAAGAAGAGTACGTTTGTGTCCTTGAAGTAAGGAGTAGAGACTTGTTTGGATCCAAGGACACCAAATAAGGGAAACAGAACCAGAGGAAGGAGAGCAGTGACAGCCAGCTCCACAACCTCGGTCACCCAGTACACCGCCATGATGAGTATACAGTATGCACATCGTGCTTCCTGGTAAAATGAATACGAGACAATGGTTAAGCTTGAGTAGAAATAGCAAAGTCTTTCTACGCGCTAAGAGCCTTTGAGTATTTGACACCAAGAACAATAATTTACCAAAACTTTTCGAGGAATCACGTCTCACTAAGTCAGGAAAAACAGCACATCCACTTGCGCGACACAATAAAACGTTTTACAGTCAATGGAGCAAGTAAGCGAGCGATCCACCTAACCCATGTTTCTCTCAACTGCAAAACCCCATTCATTGCGCATGTACTGCAATTTACGGCTCTGGGTAGAGCCCTCAGTAAAATATAGAAGATTTAACTACACGATGCTTCACTCTGTTTTTGTGTGAAAAAAAAATTCTCTAACACTTCGCAAAATTTTTCTGGAAACAACAAATTACCATGTCTACCATTGGAATTTGGGTGATACGAACATACAATATAAATAAAAGACAAATAACATTTGACAATAAACATTACCATGTCCTCCGGTCTAACTTAAGATAATTTAAATATCTCTTCATTGTTTGAAGAGTTCATACAGACAATAGATGACATTGTTAACACCGTAAAGTGCTCAAAGCCGATAACTTCTCAATTCATATTTAAATTGGTTAAGTTATTGACGAGGACAATGCAAGTAGGGATTAACTTTCTGTTTACCGTGGCTAAAGTTGTAAATAAAGCAGTCATCTTAATGGTCCAAAATACATTATATCTCTTTGAACTTTGTTCCGTCTCGATTGCCAATAAATTCTTTTCACATTAACTGTCTTTAATGTTATTCAATTTTTAAACATGAGCGCACATTGTAATACTACCAAGGCTATCTAATTAATGAAAACAGATTCTGAGTTAAAGTACTAGTGATTACTTGAAGAATGTATTAATATATGCTAGGCCACCATTATGAGGTACAGTTACTGGCTTACTTGCACGATACAACATTTTGAAATCATTCCGCACAAACTTCGTGGTCTCTATTTATCCCTTGGGTAGTTTAATTACAATTAGTTAATTAGCCACTAGGCAAATGTTTTAGTTCAACCCATGGCAAATACAATATTCAATGCATGTGCTTAACTTCAACTGAACATACTTCTTCCACTTATGTCTGTCAAGGCAGGCTCTCAATGCCGGCTGTAGGCCGATGTGACGGTTCGAGCTGAAATGCATGATGTTCTTATTTTAAATTAGCTTGACATTCACGCCCTTAAGTAAACCAGTGCAGTAAAGGGGATGGATAGAACCCCAAAGTGTAACCATATTTGACTGATTTGGTAGCACTTACTACTGATGGCGGTGACCGCTTTTGTTGTTTTGTATTGGCAAACTGAATTTTTACAATTTTGGAGAAGATTAGTGTAACAAACTGACAATCTCACCGATCCAGGAACTGCAATGGGCAGCGGTGCCAACAGAAGCGGCGTCAAAAGAAGAATGAGATATTTGCGCCATCTCAGAAGGGTCTTCGCAACGGAGGTATTTTCGTTTTTGGAATTTGTGCTCATACAAGACGGCGATCCGTGGTCTTTGTTCTCCTGCGTTTCGTTACCTCTTTCTCCAAAGGTTGGAGAAGAATCCTGGCAGGCCTTGTTTGTCTCTCCGATTTCCATTCCTTTCCTCTTTTGTTCGAGTGAAAAGTAAAGCTGAAACTTACCGACTAAACGAGTTCTAGTGCAAACCGAAAACTGGCCAGAAACAGCCAATCACAGTGGCTTCCAAAATTACTCTTCACAAATCACACACCGAGAAAAGCAGGTTGGTATACAATCAGAGTTAAATAAAGACGGCCAGTTGAGCTTGTCTCAATATTTTGTTCTCATGTTCCAATGCAAATCGCTAACTTTGAACTTTATGTTGTCAACATCAAATACGCAAAATAATACAAATACGCAAAGCTCCCTAAGGTAGGTACCGCAGTTAATTAAAAATACCACCCGCAGAAAAAAACAATCGTTTGACAAACAAGTTGACAAATCAAAGTGTCAGAACGAGATTGAAACGTACTCGTAGAACAACAAATTAAAATGTACAAGTTAAGTGATATTGAGGCTATAACCTGAGTGGAGAGCGATTTGAAAGTCACGTTTTGTCTGCCATCTTTTTGTTGTGTGCGCCGTTGCGGAAAACTAAGACCTGGAAAACTCATGGTCCAAAGAACCTAAAAACTCAGACCCCGCTGTCGTCTCGAAAACTCGGACCCTCCGTTGCCTCGAAAACTCGATCCTCACCTAATTGTTTTCCTTAAATCGATGCCTTCAAATATGGAAACGATATTGCGACGATCGCTTTGCTTTGGAGATACCTCATGCAGTCTTGAGAGAGAGGAACCACAGATGTCTGGCAACTGTACTTTAAAGCGGAACTTCTAAGAACTGTTCTGCACCAAAGCATAAGTTAAGAATGGAGTTGCACGACGACGAAGCGTACTTTAAAGTCAGTAGAACTCCCAACAGAAAAGAATAAGAAATCTCTGCATAATAACACTGACAGGTTCTGAAATACCACACACTGTATTACGTTTGAGTGCTGCACTTGTAATAACTACCTGTGCTTGTTACAATTATTGCCCTTGAATATTGCTCCAGTGCAAAGCGTTCGTCACAACATCGCATCGCGATATGTGCTCACATTGATTTAAGGCCAACGCTTTTTATGTGGGCGCTGAGTTTTCGAGGCGACGGCCGGTCAGAGATATGGAAGCGTCTGTAATCTGTGTTTTCGAGGCCTAAGTTGTCGTCTTTCCCGTCAAACTCTCGCGTTCTTATTTTAAAGGAGTGCTGTTAGGATCTATCGAGTCACTATTTTGCAAAGTAGAAGCTGTCGTAAAAATGATCATAATAATAGTGATAATAATAATAATAATAATAATAATAATAATAATAATAATAATAATAATAATAATAATAATAATAAACTAAAACAGGGAATTAAAAGCGACACTGAGACTCTCCTCTGAAAAGGCCCATTTGCGTCACTAGGAGTCTGGGGGAACACGTCAACCGCGGTCAACAGCGGTTTTATTTAGTTGTATTTCCTTCACCATTGCGTCGAAACATTGGCAAGGGTGTATAACAAAAATAGTTAATTTGGCTATCTTTGCATTTCCTCCCAGCCCGCACCCCCCGCATCCCCCAAAAAAAAAAAAAATTGTATGGGTAGTGTACAAAGCATCCAAGCAAACATTTGACAAACAACTGGAATAGCTGCTCAACCACGTTAAACGCTGTTACTTCAACTTTGGTCTCTCTCAAAGGGTTACTTCAAAACGCCAAGAGATTTCCATTTCCATTTACTTTTCCTTTCATCTGTTTGGTTTTTTTTTTCTTTTTCTCTTTAGAGTGCCTTAGGATTCAACCTTACGATTCAACCGGAAGCCGATAAATATAAGGTCCAAGAAATGGATCGTAGTAAGTGCGCAATCGGGAGAGTTAAATTTAACACAACATTTGCTTTCACCTAGGCCAAACCGCTCATAAACGGCTCTTCCACTCACACCAGGTTGGAGCACTTTTCCCCCTCCTTTCTATCAACCGTACGTGTCATGTTTGTAGAGGAAAACCCCTTGAATTTACCCAGCATCGAAACCCCGACAACAGCCTCCCTCGCAGACTTCGTCATGCGTTCCATCCCCTCGAAGGATTGCGATTGGGGAGGACTGCGTGACGAGGCAAAAGAACGTCTGCATGGAAGGCTACACCTGGGCTACACTCAGACTCAGTTTAGGCTATACGTTCACACGAATCCGGCTATTTTTGAAATCGCATACTCTTTTTTACTCGGTCATCCAAGCCGCATTGCTTTGAAACAGCTCTTCAGAGCAGTTTCAGGCCCCGTCGACAAAAATCGATCTGCAAGATATATGCGGTTTCAAAAATGGTTTTAAAAAATGGTAGTCAGTAGGTGCTCGATCGCGACGATCTTTAATAGGAGAGAATCAGTCTAGCTAAATAGACTAAGGTTGCCAATGAAAACAAACGTACAATTAACAAGGAAAGAAAACACACACACACACACAAAGGAATTCGTGACGCCGTTCTAGAAAATGTTTGACTGGCCAGTTTCTATAATATAACCCAAATCACATGTTGTACAAAAACTCTGTTGACTCTGTTGACTTTATGCAAAACTGTCAAAGAAAATGGTTAAATGTTTTTAAAGTAAATTTTAATTTTACATTAAAGATCTGAAAAGGGCGAATTCACTGATTAAACTGAAAATGAAAATAAATTAATGAATAAATAAATTATCAACCAGATTTGAAAGCCAGCCATATTGAACAGTATGCATAGCTTATCAAACGCCGCACAATAAAAAAGTGTTTTTCACATTTTCTCCTCAAAAGTCGGGGGTTGTTGATTGACATTTGCGCTCAAAGGAGACTGATTTAGACGGGCTGATACTGTTATTTAAAAATATATGCAAATTTATAATAGTGGCAGTAGGTGTTTTTAAAATACACATTTGATATTATTATAAAAAGACACCGAAGTCGAGGCTCGAAAGAGCTAAATAAGTTGGATTAATCTACGATATCTTCTTGACCTTTACACTAGAATCCGATAACTAACTGGTACATACCGTCCCCGGTATTGCAATGGGTACAGGCATCAAGATAATCGGTGTTAAAACCAATATTAGATACTTCCTCCATGTTAATAGTCGCCTGCAAAGCGAAATATTCGTTGCTTGATTTGGTTCACTCGGAGATGTCGTAGGAGAGGCCATTGAATCGGACTGTTGGAGTTTGTCTGCCTCATGCTCGCGCTCCAGGTTACTGTAACCTCTTAACCGCACTCCTTCGTTCATCTTGCGCTGCGAAAGATCGAATTTAGAGAACAAAACCAATTCACGGCATTTTGATGTTTTACAGAGTGGTGTTTACTAGCTGGTCATCTATATTTATAAGGCTTCAATCTTGACATAACTATTTAATTATTCTAATTAGGTCTTTGTTAGAACATTTACCTGTACCGTCCTTCTTCAAGCAGTCGATCAACTCAAAGCATGACAATAGAATGCACCAACGGAGGCACTGGCAAAAGAGCTGGAAATGATAATAATAATTTGAAAATAGGTAGGCTGATTTGCATACGATGCTGTCACGCTTGAGATCACCAGTTTTGCGCGTGTCAGGCCTTCCTTAGGGGCTAGGGGAGAGGAGATTTTACTCGAAAGAGGAAATGAGGGGTTAAGGATGGGAAGATTCGCCTTCTCCCCTTTTCGCTTCTCTCTTTCCCCGTTTCGCCAGAAACGCCTGAAACTCAGTAGCCTCCCACGCAAGTGTTTTTAGGGGAGCTCGTTTTTCATCCCTTCCCACATGGGGAGGGATGAAAAACGAGCTACTCAGAGGCTGCTAGTTCTTGTCACAGACTTTGCTCTCCACTCTCCGGTGGGGGGAGGGGGCAACCCTCTAAATTCCTATACGGGAAGGCTCCACCCGAAAAGGGTAACCTATTCAAGATTGTGTATTCAATTGAAATTTTTCGAATAGACGCACCTTATGTTCATAGCATTTAATTTATTCTAAACGCTATGAAGATGACCAGAAGTAGGCTAGTCAGTGAGAGGTACTATTTTCGGTATCAATTGTCGCTTCCTCCCAGGCTCTCCTCGCACTTGCGGCGCACCCGATTCTCTTTTTTTCCATTCCTACCAAAATCGAGCCAAAAGAAGAAACAGACAACAGAGAATGAAATTAAGCTTCAATTCTGAAACATGTGGTCGACCATAGGCGAGGGGGGAAATTAGAAGGAAGGCGCTATATAAAAAGATTTGCAGTACGGGCACACGAGCCGGTGCAAGCTAATCAACTTAAGAATGAGTCTAGGCACAAACTAAAGAGTCTTGTGGCTGTGATAGAGACTTTTCAGGATAGTTTTCTGTAGATGCTTCTGGGCGGCAAGGCAAGCAGGATCGATGAACAAAACACACAAACACACAAACACACAAACCTCAAATTTTGCATAATTTTATCTAACCAACTTTTATTATCCTTGTTTTTTTAAGTCTGTGTGATCGACTAAATTAAGAGAATTAGCAGCTGTTGAGTTTTCAGTCAACAACAACAGTATTAATAGGATCTAATAGTAGCTGATTTATAAAGCTGCAGAAATTGCGAACAACCCATGATGCTTGGCTTGAGGACATTGGCGGCCAACACTTTACAAATGCTCTTTTACTTACTTGAAAAGTATGGATTCGAAAAAGACTTTTTATTATTCAAAAATGTTACTTGAATTTTACAGACTTAAATTCTTTTTCATTACGTGTTGATGTTAAGTTGCTGAATTTAATAACTCTTCTGTCTGTTGCACGATTCGACATACAGTTAGACTATGAGCAGTCCCCCATTTTTCCTCAGGGTTAGTAGAGCGAGCGAAACGAGAGCGCGCGTGAAAATCACCCCACACCTAACATACAGTGTATATCATTATGATAATGAGTGAAATTAAGTACTATCGAGTAAGTAGCCTCATTATTGAGAACTGGAAGTAAAACTCATTTCTTATATTTATCACTACTTCTCAGACTATACGGCTATTATTATAATTGTTATTACTATTAATATTTTTGTCGCTTCAAAAAGATCAATACCTGACCATTGAGAACATTTAGAGTAGTGCTGTCTCTTTATCGGTTGTTTTAAAATTAGTTGTTAATTACCTTAAGTCTATATATATATATATACATACATTTTTTTTCAGAGAACTCATCAGCCGAAAGACGGCCGCATTTGAAATGCCAACCCTTCCCTCGCAGACAAGTGTAGAAAGCTGTCATTGTTTTCAAACATTGGAACCGCCAGAAAGTCATTTTAAAGTTATTTTGGGCAATTGTTTATAACTTACTGGAGTGATTTGTACTTTAAAATACATAGCAGTTCTAATTTCCTCATCTATGTTCGTCTCTTACTGGACGATATTGCTTTCACTAAGTGAAAATAAATAACAAACGTAATGAAGAGTGAAAAAAACCATATCAATTTTAGGAAATTGTAGATTGATTGTTTTTTCGATAAAAGCACACCGTGACGGAAAGTAATTTTTTTTTCCTTAGCTTTAAATCAACATCACGTGAAGGTGAACGAGGTGTTCTGATTCTCCACACCGTCAAGAACTTTTTTTAAGGTAAATGTAACCAGATTTCTGTTCATTTTAGTTTGACACTATTGTCGACTTATATCTCGACAATCTCTTATCTCTTGAATATAGCAAAGGCAGACTTTCGCCGTTGAGGTATAATTTTCACGCTGGTTATTTGCACATTTTAGTGTAACAAAGAAAAATCATAGTCTAATATCTCGAATTTTCGTGGTTCTGCTGGCACTTTTTTTCCTTTGGTGAATTTTCTTAGTTCTTCTATATTCTTGGGTGGCACTCTTTTGTGCTCTAAACGAAACTCTCTCCCTCAACCGACGCCCATGGTTTTTCCTTGAAAAAGATTAATATATCAAAGCTAACCTTATATAGCCAAAACAATGTATGTGAAAAATCAAAGTTCATTGATTATTTGTTGATCGAGGGACAAAGTGCAAAGGTTTCTCAACAGCTTCGAGACCCTAAAATATGAATAGCTGTTATAATTTACAATACGAACCTAATCTTTAGTCCATTTAGTTCACTCATTCACGTGAGCTTGCACGTGCTATCCTCGCGTCTTGCATGATGAAAATCTATATTTGAGGAAGTCACTTTTCCGTTGCCTTGGGGCAGAGTGGAATGAAGCACGTATGCAAAAAAAAAAAAAAAAAAAAAGAAAAAAAGGTTTTGCAGTGATTTAAACTTGACTTTAAACCTTCCAACCTTAGAATACTATTGATCAAAAAATAGTGAAAACAATGAAAATAATGAAAACAATCGCTAGAGAAAAGACGTCCTGATTTCTAAGAAGATTCTCCTAGTTAGTACGACATTTTCCATATTAACAACAGTATTGAGAATGGTTATGTTGAACTTTGGATTAAATTACAAAAAAAGGTTCCTGTTTTGAGAGAATTTCGTTAATTTAAAACGCCAACATTGGTGTCGCCAAGAGAAATAAAAGCATAAAGTAAAAATGTTCTTCTCTACCAGGCAAACATTCTACGACTGAGGAACCTAAATGCATTTCTCTGCACGCGTTCATTTAAGAAGCTGAAATTTTGTTCTGCATCAAAGAAGGGGAATAATTTCTTTCGCAAATTCTGTAGAACATGCTTTAGCAATGACCGTCAGTGCTTTTCAGATGTAGCCTGGGATCAGGCTCCGCATTGTGGGAAAAAGGAGAAAAAATCGAGATCAGGCGAAAAAAAAAGTTGGCGAGCGAAGCGAGCCGAGAGGTATTCTTGGGAGGAGAAAGGGTGGTGTCGTCCTTTACCCCTCCCCAGGATACCGCTGGGTTCGCTTCGCTTGCCGAAATTTTTTCCTATTTGACCACGTTTTTTGCCTTTTTCCCCCACTGCGGAGCGTGGTCCCAGGCTATTCAGATGGTTCAAGTTGTAATCACAAGAAACAGTTCGTGGACAGTTGAACTGTTAATTGAGTAAGATACTTCCTAGACATGATGCGTTTGATCAAAATGTATGAAAGATAAAAAGAATTGTAAAACACTGAAAAAGAAATTCAAAGATAACACAAACTAAAAAGGTTTCCTTTGAATGATCATCAGTACACCAGCGATTTGATTCGGTTGGTATACCGACTCAAAAAGTTTAAAGTTCAGTGCATGTCTCCTGTTCATTTTATATCTCAGTTATGAACGTTTGGAATGGATATAGTAGAAGTTTACAAGAATTATCAAACGCTAAATTTTGAGCTTTACTGAAAAAGAACTATAGACAGTCATATGAAAGGTGAAAGATTAGGAAAACAGGTGTTTTTCTCATTTGTAAGGAAAATGGTCTCGTGCAGCACCACGTGATCTACCAGGA